GTAGAGCACCTACCTAGCAATCACAAGGCCCTGAGTTCAAACCTCCGTACAAAAAAAAAAAAAGAAAAAAATATCAACGGGGAAACATTTTTTAATGGTTAACATGGGGTTGCAAGCTCAGTGGTAAGAGGCACTTCGCTAGCATGGTGTGAGGCCCTGGATTCAATCCAGCAACACAAAAGAAAAACAAAACAAAAAATTATTCTGTCTCTCCTAAAAGAAGTCATAGCCAGGCTCCTGGCACTCCAGAGGCTGAGGCAGGAGTATCTCAAGTGCAAGGTCAGCCTGAAACCACAATAGTCAGACCTGCCTCAAAATAAACAAGGGCTGGAGGTGTAGCTAAGTACTAGAGGCTCATGTAGCATACACAAGGCCCTGGGTTCAATCCCCAGCCCATCGGAAAGTCATCCTTTAAACGCTTCTCCATTCAATAGGTGAACTAGGAAGAACAAGGGACATCAAACAGTAAGAAGCTCTGAAAAGCTGCAGCACACAAGGATGGAGGGCAGGTGGGGATGCCGGAGGGAGGAAAGATGCTAGCAGTACAGGCCTGGGGAGAAAAGAGATTCCCAGACCACCTATGCTACATCGTTTAAAATTGTATGCTGGCGGTGACAAAGGCAAGACATCCAAACTTGCATTTGAGAAAGATAATTCTCAGGGTGAGCTGGAGGATGAATTATAAAGGAAACAGCTTGAGCCTGGAAACCCCATCACAAAGTTGTGGCAATGATGATCTCCTACCTTCCCCTTCCTTTTCCAGCTAAAAGCTTCAGGGCGGCTTTCACCTTCCAGTACAAAGCCTAGCATCACATTGTGACAGACTCCGCTGTGGACTGACCTGAACTAGTCATTGGCTGTTCCCTGAAAGCTTGAACCACCTACCCCATCTTCGGTGGACAGAATCTTTCCTTTACTTTCTCTCAAATAAACCAAAATTTACTCCTGCCCCCATCATGGAAGGACTTCCTTACAGTGGACGTGGGCCTTGTCTCTGCATACAATAGTATCCAAATGGGGACAAAGAAGACATGAGTTCCCATCAGGAGAACCAGATCTAGAAAGTATCAGGGAAGCATGAAGCCCCAAGAGAAGAATGCCCCAGCCCAGGGAAAAGTGCAGAAAAAAAGAAGAAAGAGGTTTTTAAAAAGTCAACGGAGGAATGGAAACAGCAAAGGTAATAAAACAAATGACGAGCTTCAACATACCTACTGCTACCTGGGATGACCCAACAGGACAGCGACAAGGTGTGAATATCCCAGAACTTTACTCCCAACAGGCTGGCCACTCATGAAATCCTAAAATTCAGCTCTTGATTCACGTTCTTTGGGCATCCAAGGTCAATCCATCTTTCACGCCTAGAATGCTGGGTGGCTCAACATGCTGTAATCCTAGCTAAGTTGGGAGGCTAAGATCTGGAAGGATCGAAATCTAAAGGCCAGCCTGGGCCAATAGTTTGAGAGACCCCCATTTCTCCAAAAATAACCAGAGCAAAATGGACTGCATGTGTGGCTCAAGTGGTAGAGCCTCTGCTTCACAAGATCAAAGCCCTGAATTCAAACCCCTGTCCTACCCCCCACAAAAAAAAAAGATGAAAATTCTTTTATGTCAGTACAAATTGGTACAATCTGTAAAAAGTTTGACAATGTCTATTAAATTTTAAGCCTGTGTTGGAGCAATCAAATCTTCTTACAGGTTTGTCTCCTAAACATATTAGCACGTTTGTGCAGTTAGTTTTAAGAAGGATTAGCCAAACAAATGATGCTACTTCTAACCATGAAGTACAAAGCAACCAGAGTCTTCTTAGAAGGTAGAGGGGGTTCTAGTGTGAGAAAGATATACCTAACATGTGCCATTAAGTGGGGGGAAAAGGAAAGAAATGCATATGCTACCATTTGCATAAGAAAAAAATAATGCATAAATTTGTTAGGCCAGGCAGGGTAGTGGCACACACCTGTAATCTCAGCACTTGGGAGGTTGGGGCAGGAGGTTAGAGAGTTTAAGGGTTACATAACAAGATAGCAAGATCCCGTCTCAAAAAGCAAACAACAGCTAGGCACTGGTGGATCATGCCTATAATCCGAGCTACTCAGGAGACAGAGATCAGGAGGATTGAGGTTTGAAGCCAGCCAGGGCAAATAGTTTGTGAGGCCCTATCTCGAAAATACCTAACATAAAAAGGGGCTGGTGGAGTGGCTCAAGGTGTAGGCCCTGAGTTCAAGCTCTGGTACCACAAAAAAAAAAAAAGCAAACAACAGTGGGGTGAGATGACTCACATCTGTAATCTCAGCCACTCAGGAGATAGAGATCATGAGGATCACAGTTAGAGGCCAAACAGGACAAAAAGTGAGCAGTGACCCCATTTCAACCAATAAGCCACATGTGGTGGCTTGTGCCTGTTGTCTCAGCTACATGGGAAGTACAAGTAGGAAGACCGCAGCCCAAGGCTGGCCCCAGGCAAAAACTGTGAGACCCCAGTCAAAAAAGCAAAAACGGGCTATGAGTATGGCTCAAGTGATATAGTGCCTGCCTATATGAGAGGCCCTGAGTTCAAATCCCAGTACCACCAAAACCAAAAATAAACAAACAAACAAACAAAAAATCTACCACCACCAAAAAAAACGCAAAACTTACTACTTGATAAAAATGCTTAAAAGATCTCTTGTCAAAGGAGCTAAAAATATACGATGGAGAAATAGCAGCCTCTTCAACAAAAACTGCTGGGAAAACTGGTTAGCAGTCTGCAAAAAACTGAAACTAGATCCATGTATATCACCCTATACCAAGATTAACTCAAAATGGATCAAGGATCTTAATATCAGACCCCAAACTCTTAAGTTGATACAAGAAAGAGTAGGAAATACTCTGGAGTTAGGTATAGGTAAGAACTTTCTCAATGAAACCCCAGCAGCACAGCAACTAAGAGATAGCATAGATAAATGGGACCTCATAAAACTAAAAAGCTTCTGTTCATCAAAAGAAATGGTCTCTAAACTGAAGAGAACACCCACAGAGTGGGAGAAAATATTTGCCAACTATACATCAGACAAAGGACTGATAACCAGAATATACAGGGAACTTAAAAAACTAAATTCTCCCAAAACTAATGAACCAATAAAGA